CCCATCTGTTATCCGTATATGATGCAGAGCTGCATAATGCATTTTATCTATGTATGTACTTGCCATCACTGCCCAGATATTTATAACCAGACTTATCCTTAATGTCAGAGGCGAGAACTCTCCTCTAGCAGTCAATGTGATAAATAAACCTTTATACTGTATGGTTCTAGTGCTCTTTAACCAGCCTAATAATAATAATAATAATAATTAGCCTAATATCATCCGGATGTGGACGTGGATAAACTGTCAAAGATAGATGGCAAAATTCACAAGCTGTGGCAAATTTTATAGTGCAACATTTCCCCTGAATCAGCTCAGACTTACTTGCATTTTTTAATTATCAAATCAAAAGCATTTGCAGAGCACTTCTGCTCAACAGCCAGGTGTTTTTCATATGTGCCTGAAATGAACAGATGGTCACGTTGCTTGAAAAATAACAACAATATGGCAAAGAGTCAACAGATACTGCACTTGCTGCATCTCTGCATGCTTGAACTCCCCAGAGAGACACAGCACATTTATTGTTAACATCAAAGTGCCTGCTGATTCCCACCATTGCAGAGCGATAAATCAACCCCCACTGGATTAAAGTGCCCTTTGTGTATATCGAGAACTCAGCACCTTAATAACACAGGAGATAAAATATTATATTCAGCATTCACAGGAGCCTATCTCGTATTGATCAAAGTGTCTGGTTTAGGAAACATCATATCAGATGGCTGAGAAATAGAGTTATAGTGTGGGTCTGCTGAAAGTATGCTTTGATACTAATGTGGGGAGTAGCTTAATGGAGCGCACTCTGGACTAATATGGGTGTGTGTGCCCTGGTGTTTGTGACTCTGAAACGTACTGGAAATGTGTAGTTGACCATATATCATCCCCACAGTTCCTTTGGACAGTAAGGATCATCATTCATCATTTCCCATCCACTCTGTGAATCTCACAGGAGGCCATTACCCGACCACTCACATAGCCCTATCTCAGACCGAGCTCTCTATACTCTATACTCTCTATACTCTCTATACTGTCTTTATCTTGTCTTTTTTTGGCTTTTCTCAGACACGTCACTGCAGTTAATGGCCGAGCCCCCAGATTGGCTCTTTGTCAATGTCATATCAGAGAGAGAGGTCAACAGCACCAGAGAAAGTCATTTGCACAACACAGAGATAGTGATGACAGAGAGAGGGGATAAGTAAAGAAACTCACTCTTTCCCAAGCAAGGACTGGATTGCTGCTTTAAAAGAGGCGTGTCTCCTCTTCTCATCTTTCAAAGTGGCCAGGGCCTGAAGGAGAGTGAAGATGAAAATGAAGGAAGTGCACTCATCCATGAATGCGAAGCAGCCTCCTTTACAGCAATTCTCTAATATTCCTCAGATACATCTCTAGTTCGTCTAGATGTGTAGCTGTGTAGTTGTTTGGATTTGGATACACATAGATCAGTTACAGTTACAAAGTCTCACATACATCATAGTAAGACAGATTTTTTTTTTGAAAGGAGATTTTAAAACAGAAAGATACATTAGGTGATGTTTGCCTCCCCTTGACAAATATCAGTGGTCATCATCACTGCTAATATGTCAAATAAGCACACTCACCTCCTTGGGCTCTGCTGTCTCTGAAGTGTATACAAACTGTGCACAAGTTCCCTCAGAGAAACATCTAAGTCATGCTGTGCTCTTGTTGTGGCTAGAGTAGATCATATCTCATCCACCACCCTGCAGTGCTCATCACTCCATCCTTAACTCTTTCACTGCTGCAGTGTAGCACAAGGGCATCAGCCGAGCACATGCAGAAGTCAGACGTCATGCTCATTTGTACTGCGTCATAATGTTTTCAGGCAGTATTAATGGATATAGTAGGAATTCTATTCAAAATGGATCAACATTTAAAACACCTGTGTTTTCTCTTGTCTTTCTTAGAGATTAATCATGTCCTCTTGTGGATGTTTCGGTCATTTTCAGGATATTTTGCTCAGACGTGACAGGAGCAGAGTAGCAAGTAATAACAGCAATGTAAGAGAGCTCTTTTTTATGAGATAAACACTAAATGTACAAATAATATTTGTACATTTTCACTTGGGAGACTAATGTATTTCAAAGCCTAAATCCCCTGCTCTTGCTTCTGTCTCTTTAACTACAGTCCTGCATCAAAGATAAAGACTATTACAGCACAATCACCTGGACTTACCTCATCACTGCACGTCATGACAAGGTAATTGTCTATTATTGCATATATTTTGTGTATGATGCAAAGAAACTAAAAGCTGTCTGTACCACGGGTAACATCAATCTCTAAGTAGGAAGTCAGAGACAGATCAAAGGACTTTCTCTGACACCTTTAAGATTAAGCAGTCTTGCAGTACAGTATAGCACGGGAAAACTCCTCACACAGTCTAGAGGAAGGCCCAGATTTACTGCTGTGGCCATAAGCAGTCCACAGTCCCTGATTTAGCCTGACGGTGTTTGAGATTACGAGGTTAATCCTCTCTGCTCAGGTTAACAGGTTACTTTTAGAGTTGGGTATTGAGGACTGACTCTTAGCGCTGGGCCTGTATCATTTTGATTGACAGTAGTATTGTCAGAGTGATTATTCATTTGTCTCCTCGCCTCACGTCAATAGTGACATAACAGTGTGTCAGTGAGCAGTGCCACAAACAGTGTAAGTTGGTGATCTTATTATTACCTCAGACGGTCCTTTTTCGCTCAGTTGCATGAATGAATGAATGAAATTTTGTTGTTGTATCATGTTAACAGTTATGTCCATCTATGTAGGCTTACAAGACACCATAAAATCAAAATAAGCCAGGACCAGAGTCTAGTGTACATATTTTCAGACAACATTAAAACAAAAGAAAATTCCTGCAAAAAGCATTTTGGAAACAATTTGCAAAAATCGGTATCGTAGCAGACGTCCAGGTGAAAAGAGCAGGTCCCAGAATAATACTCTCCATGGCTGTCTGAACACAGCCATGGAAAAAATAAAACACTTGGAGCTTAGCATACCGTAAATACTGGAAAGTGTTTTTTTTTTTTTTGACCAGCTGACCTACACTGAGCAGTTTCTTGATGCAGTCATCACGTCAGTGGCGTCACCAGCTGATTGGCTTACTGAAGCAGCAACAGTGGTGCACAGTTAGAGAGTACATGGAGTGTGCCAGATCTAAATCCATTCAGTCTATAATTTGCTGAATGCTTTTATTGTGGTGGGTAACACGTAATGTTTTTCTTTTACCATGAGGGTTTTGTGGAGAAGCTAAATTCCCATTCAACATGTAGACACGTGTAACGTACTAGCCACTAGATGGCACAATTGCTTTGTTTTACAATATTTGCTGACTGCCTCAGGCCATTCAGTCATTTGAATTGTATTTTAAAAAATAAAAAATACAATTTAAGAAAGACTGAAGCCCCCAAATCAAATCTTGTATTGAACATTGTAGGCTATGTTTCTAAGTATAAATCCCTCCTTGCAAAAGAACAGGTTGTGAGCAATCACAGCAGTAAAGCAGGAGCACGTTGTTAACTATCTGTGTTGGGCTTTTGATTAATCACCTCTACAACCTATGAAGGCGAAAAACTGCCTGTACTCAGAGTGCATAATGATTTACTTACAGTATTCAAGTAAGACTGAAGATTGATTTCTCACCTATTGCTGTTCTTATGGGACTTCTTATAAAAATGACTTTGCTTGATTGTAGCTGTCTGATGTTATTGACTGAATCATACAACTACAAAACAAATTTTGCAGTTCTACCCACCTAATCTCACTAGATGGCAACAGAGAACATGAAATGAAAGTTTTGACCCTCACTTTGTTTCTATATGACCTGCTCACAGTCATACTACAAAGCTTTAAGGAGCTGTAACTGGCTTTTCCGGTGAATTCAAACAAAAGTAGAAACTGTCTCTTGCCAACATTTTTCCAATAACTTATGATCACATCTTTACTGTTAAACTGTACTGTTATGGGGTCTGTAAAAACTCACAAGCACATCTGTCATTTCTTTCATGTTTACACTAAGAATTTTTTGCAAAAATATTCATTTAGTTTGCACAGGAGAAGCTGATAGTCAAGCTGTTAATGAGCCCAGGGGACACTAAACAAGTGGCAATGAATATTTTGCTCTAATTATCCAGTTAGTTTGACTTTATGCTATCCAATAAATTCCTGATTTGAACTACTGTAGTGAATCTGTATGTGATGTATAAATTAAATTGTGAATTTCTGCAATAGGGACCGAGCAAAGCTTGAGGATAAGATGCCACGTCTGGACTATCCTCAGTGGCTCCTCATGGTCCATCACTCTGTGCTGTGTTCACCCTACATTTCCCCTGCTGCTAGCAAAAAGAGGCAAGTGCACATGATGTACCCTTTGCATTGTAGGCCTGGTCCAAATAAAAGAGAGTGAAGGAGTACAGCCAAAAGCGAAATCTGCAATATATGTCTTTGGCGGTGTAGTGTGAACTCTCAAAAAATGTGATTGGGCGGGGGGGTGAAAATGTGTCAAGTTTAGAGGTCTGCAGCCTTTCACTGCTGCTGAGTCTCAGGGGTCTGCTTGAATGTAAGGGTCACGATCAGTGCTTTCTTGGAGCAGTTCTTCTGATGCTCTCTCAAGAATGTTAGGCCGGAACCCCCCGCATCGGCCCTCTCGTGTCCCAACCGTCTACCATTGAATACAGATGGAGCTAAAGCCTCAGCCTCCTCTGATGGCTTTAGGGCTGCTCTGTGGTGTGGGGTGAGCCAACAAATATGAGCTGAACCAAGTAGGAATGTGCCTGGCACCCTGTCTGCCCTTTTTCTGAGTGGAAAGGGGGGGCGTCATAACAGGGGGAATGTAGTAAGAGGAGGGGAGGCTCTAATGAGACCCTGTAATCACTTAACAGAGACCAGGTGCTCTGTGTCTTGCTGTAGCAGTGCGCTTCAGACAATAGAATGCCACTTTCAATTTACAAGAGTCATGAGCAAAGGAGGTCTGGATGACGGTCTAGATTTTGTATGCAAAATGTTTATTGAATAACAATGTAATTGCTTTGAAACAAATAAAATAGAACACATTTACAAATATATAATATACATATAAAACACATATCCTATTACCACAGTTTGCAAAAGAATAATGACACTTAGCTACAATGCCCATATATATATTTCTTCCTGTACAAAAATAGTTCTATCTGCATAAGTACTTTAATGTAACCTCTATATAATATTTAAATAAAGGAATTCATATATACATATACCTGCAATAAAAACAAATATAGATTGCACATGTTTTTGTACAAACAACAACAATTTCAAGTATATTTCAATCCATTGTGGACTGGCACATAGCTCACAGAATCCCTTATACAGTGTCCAAAACTTGATATAAACTGAGAGCTTCAGAGCTCTGTAGCCTATCTTCCTGTTTGGCATTGTGATGAAGATGTCTTTTCCTGATGATTCATTCGACTTTAAGTCCAAATGGAAAAGTGCAGGCAAGTACTGACAGTTTGGAACATGGTGGTATAATCCTTAGAGGATAGCACTTATCAAAGTCCTGGCCTTGAGGAAGAAATGTGTAAAGTCCCAGAATGTTAGAAGAGAGTTCCCTCTTTAAGCCAGAGGATGTGTCCACTTTGCCAGCTAATAGCACTCTTCCTTTCCCCCTGCCAAGCAGAGAGCAGCACCTGTAGTTCTCTCCACGCCGTGCCATCCAGTGTCTGTGCGCCAGCTGCAGTTGTTTGCACGCTCGGCATTGCTGAGCTGCAAGATTCAGCCTCTAGAGAAACTCAGTGCAGCCAGTCTTGCTCTGACTCAGTTCTCATGCCTAGAAAAAAATGTGCCGGGAAATACTTGGCAGAAGTCTGAGGCATTTTGAGAATTTTAGAACAGAGAGAGCACACTAACTCCCTCGCTTTTGTTCCCAACTCTTCTTGCAAAATCCCGCTCATGTCCGTCTGAGGAGAGCCTCAAGCTTGTGAACTTGTGACTCATTTATGCTCCACACGGGCCTCAGCCTGCCCTGCTCTAGCCTCAGTGTGACTCTGTGCGCTGGGAGAGACCGACGCCTCCGGCCGTATCCCTGAGGGCTGATCTTGTCAACAGGGGCGCTCCCGATCTTCAACTTGTTGTTGAGTTGGTGCAGGCGGTGTGCGAGGTCATGCACTGTGCAGGTGCCCAGCGAACAACCTTGTCTTCTTGACTGGTTGGCTGAGTTTTTAGACCTCTTGGTTCGGACATTGGTGTGAGTGCTGGAGGACAGAGGGAGAGAGGAGAGAACATTAATCCATGGTGTTCACTGCTTAGTTGTTAATTGCTGAGAATTCTCTGCTTAGATTTTGTATTCCTTTTTAATGACTAGCAGAATGTTATGATTGCATGGATAGTGTCTTACCTGGAATGTGGCAGCAAAGTATCCCTGATATCTTCTGGTCTGACAAAGCTGTCAGACTCTGCTGTCCTCTGTACTGATACACTGTCAAGATCCCGTCTCATTCTGCTCCCTAGCCATATGCTTAGCCTGGAAGAGGAAAAAAAAAAAGTCCATTGGTCTTAGGAAGATTATTCAATAGACAGGCAACAGCTGTCCCTCACTTGCCAGACAGTCACATGTTATATCAAACGAAAATGATTATTGAATGAATTGCTCTTCAGGTAACTCACCTTTTTCTCAACTCCGGGTTCACTTCAAGTTCCACACAGTGTGCTACTGTCGCCAACAGACAGCAGGAGAGGAAGGACTGGAAGATCAATTGCATTTTGACTCCTGTGGAGAGAAGGGAAGACACTTATTAGTTACTTATTTATGCTATAAATTGATATTTAACTCAGTGAATTCCCTACTGTCCCTCAATGCATGTAAAACTTTTTCCTGCTCCCCTGAATACCACACTGGCACTTGCTTACACAAGAGTCCAAAAGCCAAGTTATTTGCACTTATCATTCATTTATTTAAAAAGTTAAGCTAAGGTCAGATTTGCTCGGTTAAGTAAACCTGCAACCATGCTTTGGGCCCCTGGCCAATAATGTGAAGGACAGTCTACCAATGAGGAGTCCAAAATAGGCTCAGCTTAAAAACTAAAGTGCTCTTCAACCCAGTTACCTTATCAAATAAAACAAGAAAATCAATTGCAACCATTAGATGCACTGCCTCCAGCAGATGCTTTACACCTTGAAGGCAATTCCCTAACAGACACACACACACACATTAAGAGCTGAACAGCTTATATAACCAGACAGATAACCTGTCCTTGTCTCTACACTTGTGCCCCGACCTCAAAAAAGCAAGGATAGAGCCATCAGCTGGCAGCACAGCAAATCACAGCAATATCTGCTTTAAAATAAAGTGCACATACCTGTAATTCTCTGGTAATTCAGTTGGATGAAAAAAAGTTCTTGTTGTAGAGTCAGCTGTAAAAGAGTACTCCACAGGTTTCTTGAAATTGCCACTAGTTCTGTAAGGCAGCTGTGTCACTCTGCTAATAGCTCCTACACACCAGACTGGGAGCCTTTATACAGGAGGTGGGAGGGGCTCATTGACTGACACACACAGTCTCTCATCCTTTTCCCCCACCCCATCCAGCACACTGCTGCTGCGCTGCTGCTCATTAAGTACAACAACGCAACACAGTGAAAAGATCAAAAATGATTAATTAAAATGATAAAAGAAAATAGTGATAGAGTAAGTGCAGTGCAGTGCAGCCACTGTATCCTGTTTTCAGTGTTGAGTCAAGACATTAGCTTTTCCTCAGCTCAGTATAAATGATATATCAACTAAATGTACAATTATCATAAAATGTTGTTTGTTTTATTTCTATATATAATGGCAACAATCAATTAGCACCAGTTATGTAAGTCACATAATACACTCACTGTGGCACCAAGAGTACAAAGTGTTCATCTCAGCCAGCTGCTCTCTATAAGGAGAGGTATTAGGAATCTAAAAAATCACAAAGGAGACGGTTCAAACATTCATCTTGTTTATTTGAACTTTAGGGTCAGTTAGTTATAGTTTTTGTTAAGATTCCTTTCAGTCCAACCTGGCTAATTGTGTAAAATAAAATTTAAGGAATGTGTCCACAGTCTGCTTTTCACGGCACTCCCTGACGCAGTAAGGTTCCATGTCAGCTTTGAAAGTACGCTGGGTGATGAATTTGAGATGTGGAAAAAGACAAGCATTGAGTAACTGATTAAATATAGACCGTATGCCCAACTATAAACACAATATACTCATTGTATTTGTTTGTACAAGGCAAATATTTGACTCTGGACTTACCATGTCATTTATTTTGATATTTGGATAAATGCGAAGTGGAATTTTACAATTAACCTAAAAATAAATCCAGAGTCAGAAGATGAACTTGAGCAACAATCTGTGATCTATGAACAATATTGGCTTAGACATTTTTTAAAATAGTTCTGATTTGTTGCTGTTATAAATTATACGTAATATGACTTCACTTTTTGCATCAGGAATGCAAACACAGGACTCTTTTAGGTGATAATGGGGGAGCCATCAAGTCTGCCTGTATGTCTCAACCTCACACATCATGGGATGGTCAGTGCAGTGAGTCACTCTTAACCTGCAGGCAGCACGTTTTACATGGCCACTCTTTGTCCACATCCAGAGAGAAAGATATGTCTTCCTCTGGTTTTTATTGATGTTTAGTCTGTAAGGCTCAAAGTAATACCCCTGTCGGTGCTGTTCATGATGCAGATGTGTATAATAAGCCCTCAGGGGGATACATGAACAGAAATACCATCACAAATAGCACATTAAGGAAGTTACAACTTTTTGTTTATCACAGCCCACATCTGGCTGATTGCGAGTGTGGATTTGTGTCTGAGATGAGCGCACTGAATATGTGATGCCAGTAACATTAAAATCATACTCCCTTACAGAGTGAAATGCTGTAAATACCAGAGGAGAGTCATTTGGTTTTATCAATGTAGAAATTCCACTAACTTTCCACAAGGTGTGGTGTAAATTTGTTTTGTCGGGTGCTGGGCTAAGTAATGCTTTCAGTTTACAGTTTTTTTGTTTCAGTTTCGATGAAGAGGAACAACGGTCCCTCGAGTTCTTTCAACATAATTTCAGAAAAACTTAACACGTGACATTCCGCTCAAGCATTTCAGCATCCCATAATTCATATCTCATTGTTTAGGTCCCTGACACAGAACCTTCCTGAGGGTATTTATATCTCATGCGACCCAGCTCAAAGAATACATAAATGTCAAACACATGTGCTGTAAACCAGAAAATGTTTTGTAAGCACTTTGTAATGATAAATGCCTCCGGCAGATAAGTAATCCCCTTAGTTTAGTTTACAACAGGAGATTGTGCAATCATGACAACAAAATTCTGCTGTTGCTTTTTGGCTCCTTATATAGAAATCTTTTGCTTGTCCTCCATGAAGTCCTTGTCGTAGGATGACTGTCAATTTTTGGATGACCTTATGCTGATACGGGCAGGTATGCATGACAGGAAACCTGAGCAACTAATGACAGGTGTGCCAGGAAAAGAGGGTGTCAACCCCAAAGGCACAAATTTGACATATGATTCATAATAATTATCATGCTGTGATTAAACTAGAAATGTTTGTCACCTGAAAAAATGTTTTGTTCCAGATCCCGTCATTCTTGTGTAATTATAAACACTATGTGAACGCCTGGTCTGTGTTTCTTCTTGTTTTGGCTTCGGTTCAACTATTTGACTACCTCAATAAGTGGAATAGAAAGAAAGAGGGAGAGACAAAGAAAACAACTGGAGAGATGAAGAGTGAGAGAAAACGCAGTGGAAATTGCTTGCGGTGTTCCTGCTATTGTCGAGAGTGACGGTGGTTTGTGCGTTCCTCTCACACTCATTAGCTAGAGCACTGATTTCCATGCGCTGTTCCTGTTCCTGTTTTTATAAATATGCAATATTTTTGCACTAACCACAGGAGTTTATCCTGCCTCTCACACTGTATGTCCAAGGCACAACCACGCTCAGCTTAATGGAGCAACTTTAAAAAAAGAACATTGTCTGTGACAGCACCACTAATGATTTTTCTTTTGTAGCACTCACCACAAAATTGAAGCATTAAGCATGGGGTAAAAAGGCACACACAAATATGTGAGTCCATGGAATAACCCCTGATCATTTTATTGTTGCATGTGGAGCAGCTTTGTCATATTAAGAGGATAAAATGAATCTTTTTTTTGTTGTGTGTTTTGATATAAGGGCACACGTGACTAGTGGTTGGTTTGCAGTTAAAGTTGAGGACAAATATTTCCACTACTGAAGTGTCCCTGGCACTAAATGCTTGTGATAAATCAAAATTATCATACTGAAAAAAGAGGGCAGCAAGTAGCCTATAGAAAATGAATGTATTACTATTTAACCTGCTGAATATGACATGCAAATATTCTACGTTATTCTGTCAAAGTTGCTATTTCATTTACGTGTTATATGAGTGTTTTTCCATCACCCTGGATAATACGTTGGGGTAGCTCCTTTCAAACTGTAGTTTTGGACATCCGGCAGTTCTTGGAAAGCTCCCAGGGAGTCTCCAGCAACGCCAGAGAAGTTGTAATTTCCAGAGGTGTGGACTCGAGTCACATGACTTGGACTCGAGTCAGACTCAAGTTCATGGATGGATTAGTGAACACGCCTAATGGGCACAGGCCCAGGGGCCAAAAGTGTTAGGGCCTCCCCGTGGCCATCCCCTGCAAAGTGTCACTCAGACACGTACTGACTAGAAAAAGACTCAACATAACCATAAAGAGATACAACAAGACCACAAAGAGATGCAAAGGAACATCAAATAGACAAAAAAAAACTACAAAATGCGCAAAAAACCCTCAAAGATACACAAAATGACCAAAAAAGACACAAAATGACCTCAAAGAGACACAAAACTCACACAAGGAGACACAAAATGACCACAAAGAGACACACGAAAAGATACATAATGACTAAAAGCAGATGCAAAACTATCACAAAGTCTGTGTGTCTTGCTCATGTGTAGGAGAGGTCTTGGGCCTTTTGCATGTCTGTCATTGTTTCATAATCCACCCATGTTCGAGTCACAAATTTAATGACTTTAGACACAACTAAACAAAATCAAAAAAGACTTACAGCTTGACTTGGAATTTTACACCAATGACTCATGACTTCACTTGTACTTGAGCCTTTGGACTTGAAAATACTTGATACTTTTCCCCAGTAACTTTGGGAGGAAAAATGTATAGACAGGATAAGACCATACAAAATTCAATCTGTTGTGGCACTAGTTAATAGCAATATGAAAGTACAATGCCAGCACTACTTTTTTATGATTAAAGGTCCAGTATGTGGGATTTAGTGACACCTACTGGTGGAGTTGCAGAGCTGAAACTTCTCGCATGTGGTTAATGCAAAAACCTGAATGGCCCTTACTAGAGCCAGTGTTTGATTTGTTCATCCTGGGCTACTGTAGAAACAACATGGTAGACTCTGTGGAAGAGGACCCAAAAGAAACAGCTTCTTCTAAAGTAACAAAAACACAAGAAGTCTTATTTTTGGGGTGATTATGCTCTAATCAAAACATAGTTATCATATTATATACAATTTCTGCCAATAGATGCCCCTAAATCCTACACACTGGACCTTTAAGTTCAGTTGCACTTGTTTTAATGAATAAATACATTTTTTTAAAAAAGCACTCATAATTGTCATCAGTGAAGAATCTCAGTTATCCAGGTCATGGTAATCATAAGTGCTATATCGTAGGCAACTGGACTTCCTGAAGATGCTTTGCCTCTCACCCAAATGGCCTCTTCAGTTCTAACAGACTGGTGTGGAGTTGCAGGCTTTAAATTCTGTGTGGGTGTGAACCCTTACAGTCGCTAAGGTCATGTGAGCTCTGAGTTTCAGAGCTGTTTCAGTCACATGTGAGTCGTTGACCCATCTTGTGTGCCTTTAGGGTTAGATGGGTCCATTGTAAGTGGGTGATAAGTTGTGTCATAATTGTTTATTTAATATATTATTTTTACTATATTTTTTGAATAGCATTATAATTGGTGAGTAGTGCATTATGGCTTGTTAAGGACTCAAATTTAAATGTATAGGACTTGACTTGGACTTGGACTTGACTTGGGACTTGCCTATCTTGACTTGGGACTTGAGTGCAAAGACTTAAGACTTGTGGCTTGCAGAACAATGACTTGGTCCCATCTCTGGACTAATTCCCTCCTATTGCAATAACCAGGCAGTACTCACTGTTATGATTACATGCTTGCCACTGTAGCTCTCTATAGGCTATATTTCCCACATTTACAGTAAACTACAGTATTATTCTGGTGTGGTGGCTGCCCCTTGTATAAAGAAAAAACTTGTGGACCCCTGCTTGGAGCCAAAAGGGGGGCTCTGTTGGGACACAGAGCTGTATTTGTAAACTCCAGGGCCCACGCCCATGGATGTCTCCCTCTCCTGCACGCAAGCG